TGTTCTCCCTCATTTGCAAATCTTAACACCAATCTCTTATATGTGAGTATATATCCTGATGTAACAGCAGGAGCCAGGAAAACGGAGAGAAAGCACAGAGGTAAAAGGAAAGAAAGAGCCAGAGAGAGGGGGATAGTAGGAAATAGATATTACCAAGAGGAAATGGGGGAAATGGAAGTATTGAACTGGGAGGAGAGTAAGGAAGGACATACAAAGAAACCATGGGGGTAAAGTGTAAGAAGGAACTCAAGGGGTGGGGGGATAATAGGAGACAGTATTATCAAGGGGAAACTGGGGGTACTTGAACTGGGGAAGGAGGAGGGAGGTTAGACAGAGAAAGAGAGAGGGAAGATAAAGTTTAGATGGTGTAAAAAGCCAGAGTGAAATGTATTAACTAAAAAACTCCCTGAAAAATACACATACAATATCTGAACATGAGTGCATGTGTATACCTGAAGGCTGTATAACAAGGAACACGGTGCCAGACAGGAGAAATATTCCTTCAAGTTGTTAGTCAGGGTAGTCCAAGAGACTCCCAAAATAATACAGGCTATTGCCACAGCCCTTGATTACCTCCCGGAACTTGAAGGTAAGACCCTATTGCCAAAAATAGGACATACTTCGGACATAGGATGTGCTGGATAGCTTTAGTGTCAACTTGACACACCTGGGTTGAGGGAGCCTCAATCAGGGAATTGCCTCTATTGGACTGGCCTGTGGCCAAGTCTGAAGGGCATCTTCTTGATGCGTGATGTGGGAGGGCCCAGCCCACTGTGGGTGGTGCCACCCCTGGGCAGGTGGGCCTGTGTTGCATAAGAAAGCAGGCCTAGCAGGGGCTGAAGGAGCAAGCCAGTAAGCGGCGTTCCTCCATGGCCTGTGCTCCAGCTCCTGCTTCCAGGTTCCTGCCCTGAGTTCCTACCTTGGGCTCCCTGATGAACTGCAACCTGGGAGTTGTAAGCTGAATAAACCCTTTCCTCCCCAAGTTGGTATTTGTCAGAGTGTTTTGTCACAGCAGTGGAGAAATAGACTAGGACATAGGATATGGAACAATGGAGCTGGAATTGACCTGGAAGCCTTCTCCCTGAAGACACTATGCAAGCTGCTAAGGAGATAATCAATCAATGGTCCAACCCAGCTGTAAAGCCTAATAACCACAACAAGTAGCCCAGCAAACTATCTCTATTGGTGCTGTAATGGGGTAATCAATAGCTACCTAATTGGACTTAAAGTTCTCTCAATGGGAGGCAACTCATGGATGTTACTGTAAATACAGCCAAATACACATGACTAAACCCTATCTCTGTCATATCTCTAGACAAATGAAATTTCTTACTATGCTAAATATGGAGCCTTGTATCTACATACAAGTATTCCATATACCACTCATCAAAGAAGTTTCTTTTTCCAACAGATAGAGGGTACTGTACACAGAGAATATATGTCTGAGAGATACCCAGCCCTAAGTTACATATCTACAGAGGAACTTCTACACCTAAGGCTCATGGAACATAGCAGAACAGGGTTCAGAGATTACTAATACATCCCTCAACTCCCACCAGTAAAGCACCCTCATACAATATAATGTAATGCACACAGAAGTCACAACTGGCTAAGTTTTAGAGACTAAGAGACTGCAGAGTGTGTGTCCCTAGATAAGACTACTATATTAAATCTCACCCACCCAGGGCCCAGGGACCATTGTGGAAGAGGGTGGAAAGATCCTGAGAGCCGGGGTGGTGCATGATCATAAGGAAAAAGAGTCTTCCAGGTCTCTGGGAACTTGTTCATATGAACTTATAACAATGATGTCAGCATGTATAAGACCCATGTAAATAAACTCAATCAGACAAAAACCCAGCATAGAACTGAAGAAATGGGCAGGAGATCCCAATTTTAGCTAAGGAACTATTGACAGCTGATCACTCCTGAGCGAGGAAGAGTTGATCTCCTTTAAGGGAGTGATGTCAGATAGTCTCCTTTAAGGGTGTCTGATGAACAGACTCCAGTGAATGAACTCACACCAAAGTGAGAAATATTTAATTTAGATATAAAATATTCAAATATGTCATTTTAATCTTCCTTGATGTATATAAACTCAAGCACAAACTCATTACATGTCTTTATTGCTTAATGCTTATTAAAACCATCTCTCCACTCTCACTGGTGAAGGTTCCTCATACAACAGAGTGTGATGTGCACAGAAGGTCACAACTGGCTAAGTTTTAGAGACTAAGAGACTGCAGAGTGTGTGTCCCTAGATAAGACTACTATATTAAATCTCACCCACCCAGGGCCCAGGGACCACTGCAGAAGAGGGGGCAGAAAGAGTGTAAGAGCCAGGGTGGTGCATGATCTTAAGGAAACAGAGGATTTCAGACCTCTGGGAACTTGCTCATGTGTTGTAACAATGGTAACAGAATGCACAAGATCATGCTGACTCTGTCAGACAAAAACCCAGAGCAGAACTGGGAAAATGAACAGCAGGTTCTAATCCTAGTCAAGGAACTATTGGCAACTGATTACTGCTAGGTGAGGGAGAGTAGGTCTTTAAGAGTATGACTCTAGATAGGCTGACTAGACTCCAGTGACTGAACTTGCACCGAGGGACATCTGGGCACAAATGCTTGATTCGATAGGACTTAATATATATGACAGAATGCATAAAATTCAATGAGGGGGGCTATGGGGGAGTATGGGTAGTGGAGTGGGTCTAAATTTGATTAGTATCTGTTATATGAAATGCACAAAAACTCAATAAAGTTTTTTTTATATTTTATTTATTATTTTTATTTTATGTGTATGAGTGTATTGCCTGCGTGTATGTGAGTGCACCCGTGTCGTGCAATGCCGCGGAGGTCAGAAGAGGGCTTTGGATTCCCCTGGAACTGGAGTTAAGGACGGTTCGTAGCCACCATGTGGGTGCTGGGAATCGAACCCGGGTCCTCTGCAAGAGCAGTCAGTGCTCTTAACCGCAGAGCCCTCTCTCCAGCCCCTAAAGCATATGTTTAAAAACAGACAAAGAAAAACACATTAAAGAAGCAGAGTGAGATATATGACAGCCAGTCACATGGCTGCATAAGTAATAGGAATGAATTTGTACTCTGTGTGGCACTCAAAGCCCATTACAGCTTAGCCCTTTCTTCCCGCACATCTTAATCTTTTCTTCTTCTTTCATTTTTTATATTCTAGTAATTCTCAACAGCTTGGTGGTCCTCAGTTGCATCATGCAGTTTCACGATTCGCTGACTTTGGTCACGTGCTTCCTTCCTCCACGCCCCCACCTTCTGTAGCTTACACCTACTCATCCTTGGAAACAGCCAGGGTATCATCCTCTAGGCCACTGAGAAGGCCCTCCTTGGACTGCCATAAGACCTGTGCATCTCTGTCTCAACAACTACAATGACATTGCAATTCACTGTCTTCCCCATTTAACTGTAAGTTCCTTTAAGGGATACACCCTGTTTAGACATTTTGAGTACCCGGTGTTTATTGAGTGCCTGGAAATGGCAGGCACTTAACAAATGTAATGGGCAGTTAATAACCTTCCAAGCACTGTGATTGGTACTAGTGACCAGCAGAGATTCCATTTTGACCGTAAGTGAATACAACAACCCATCCCACAAAAAAAGGATGTGAAAAAATGGCATGCATGAAGCTTTGTAAATAGTGAGTCACTCTGTCAGTACACTGTCTGTTTCACTGAATTGGCCCAGAATTCCCTTCCCTTGGCTGTGTGTCTCTTTAACACGGGGACTATGAAATTATCTCCTGTGTAAAACACTTCTGAGAAGTGAAACACTTAAAGGGAAGTAGGCAAAAGGAAGAGGCAAAAGACGGAAGTGCTCGAAAAAATTATCTACACGCACTCCCTTTGAGAGTTTTCATGTGCACACTTCAACGTGTTTGAAAATCTCTCCACACTAGAATTCTCTGGAATCAGATGAGATCAGGGTTTATTTTGTAAACAATGGGAGTGGTGGCCAAATCACTTCCTATTACTATTGCTAGCCCCGTCTCAGAATGTGCACAGATTAATAATACATCGCCAGGCGTAGCACTAAAACTGAAGATAAGATTCTCTCCCTCGGCCTTTATAGCAACCCTGTGAGCTACCACTAGGAACAGTTTAGAGGGAAAGAAATTGAAACTTGAAGAAGTCAGGAAATTTGTTCAAGATCACATCTGTAGTAGACCTGAGAAGCGGGATTCGAACACAGGCCTGCCTCCAGGGCTCACGTTGAGCCCTCCATCCTAACTGACCTGCACAGGACACAATGCAATATATAAACAGGAATCACAACTCTATCCTTGCAAAGTATTTTTGCCCTCAGGTAAATGGCAAGTTTCTAATTTTTTTTTTTTTGAGTTAAGGATATTTTGAGTCCTGTAGACGTGCTCTATCAGCTGACACCATGAATCCTCTAATAACAGTGTTTTAAATGAAGGGTGTGACGGAAAATTAATTATCCATGTAGCTGGCTCTCCTTTACAATTAAGTAAAGGTTTTTTTCTATTTAACTATTTTTATTTCTTTTTTTATTAGTGCATGCTAATTGAACAAAATAATGAGCTGCATTAATGACAATTTTGTATATTATACAACATACTTTGATCATATTCATGCCATTATTCTCTCCTCTTCCCCAAGAAAAAAGTCTTTTTATGAAAATATCTTAATATATTTTGTATACTTGTCAGTTTTAATCAGCACATAAGTTTTACAACAAAGAAAAACTCCATATAGAAATTTTCAAAAGTGCTATGTAAGATTAAAGTGATTTTCCTTCCTTCCTTTCTTTTCTTTCTTTTTTTTTTTTTTTTTTTTTTTTTTTTTTTTTCTCCTTTTGGATTCCAGAGTTTCCTCATAAACTTCCTCTGACTTCCTCTCTGGAACTGATTTCCAAAGACGTTGAGAATCAATTCAATTTTTTTCATTATTCATTTCTCTCTCTCTCTTCTCTCTCTCTCTCTCTCTCTCTCTCTCTCTCTCTCTCTCTCTCGGTTTCTTGGTAGTAGCAGAGACGAGGGAGGGTGAGCACAGGACAGAAGAGTGGAAAAAAATCATATGCACTATGTCTGAATATATCTTCTATTTGTAGATAATTGCATCCGAGGTGCACTTCTGCCTTTAAATTCCGTTTCTGGACACCTCCTTTTCCATCCAGCCAGCTGGGAGAGACAAAGCCCTTTTGGTGCCCTGAGCGACAGAACTCTGGTAGGGGGCTGGCTGGCTGTAAATTGACGTGGCATGGAAATTCTCCGCTAAGTTGTAGCAGCTTTCGAGCTAAGATCAAGCGCAGCCTCCAGGAACTGGAACTGAACCATGGGCTCAGTAACTTTTCAGAAAAATGGATAGTAAAAGTCTTCAACGTCTCGCTTTGGACCTGGACGTTTTCTTTTTGGCTTTCTATGATTTAGCTGAAAACCAAACCAAAGCAGTTAAGTCTGTAACTTTGTTTTTGCAGCTTAAACAGGAGAATTTGCTGCTCTCCCTCCCCTTTCCTGCAATTTAATTCCTTACAGACTTTGCCATGGGGTGCGGACTTAGAAAGCTAGAAGACCCCGATGATAGCAGCCCTGGAAAAATATTTTCTACCCTGAAGAGACCGCAAGTGGAAACAAAGACGGAATTTGCTTATGAATATGTGTTGCTGGATTTCACTTTACAAGGTACTCTTTGTTAAATGTTTCGAAAATAAGAGACTACTAATGTTTAGACTTGTGAATTCTTAAGCTCTTCTTCATAATGAGATTGTTTAGTCCATCTAACAATAATGCTTTGTTTCTTAATTGTATTGGGGGAGGTTTTTTTGTTTGTTTGGTTGTTTGTTTTGCTTGCTTGTTATTTTTTTAACATAGCTCATATGTGCTTTAAAAAATTAGGAAAACTTCTTGGAAATATTCCTTTCGTTTTTAAATCAAAATACTTATTTGTGGAAGGGTTCAAGGTAAATGTTTGATTTCCAGCCCAAATAGCTATAGCTTTGACAGCTTGTGTTGTGAAAAAAGATTTGAAAGGCGCAGGACAGCCACATGTGTGCTGTACTACATGTGTGCTGTTCTACGTGTGTGCTGTCCTACATGTGTGCTGTACCACTTGTATCAAATTGTGGGAAACTTCACTGAGACAATTCTGCCATGGGTGGCCAAGTGTGTTGAAGTTTGTGATTGTTTTACTCATTTGATATGTTTGGCCAAACGAAAGTCTGAAAATATAGTCTAAAAAAAAAAGAAAAAGAAAAAAAGGTAGCCTGCTGTGAGACTCTTCCTTTGCTCTGTGCTGGGTCCCTAACAGAGAAACTCTCTTGCAGAAAGTTGGAAACACAAATAAACAAGCCCAGACGGCAGGACAGCCAAGGACCAGGCACCTCCACCTCGCTGAGGCTTAGCCTGGTCCTTATGGAAACTTTGAACGCTGTTAGAACTACATGGACTGACCAGCATTTTAAAAGAACTGTGTCTTTAATTATGATGTGCTAAAAATAAAAATGGAATTTAGAGAAACTGGCTTGCTGATAATATCTCCAAATATTAGCATCTTAAATTCTTATTTCAAAGTCTATTTTTAATTTTCACAAGTCATACATTTCATCAGTTCATAGAGTTTGTACTGACTAAATTATCCTATTCAATGTTGTCTTAATTTTTTTTCTTAAACACAAATTCTCAATTCTACCCTTCCCTTCCCCCAGCTTTTTTTTTTTTTTTTTTTTTTTTTTTTTTTCCCTTGGAAAAAGGGATTTTTTTTTTTTTGATTCGCTCTGGAAACAGTGCATCTTTGTGCAAGAAGCAAGAGCAGCCCATTTTTCTTTGTCAAAAATTGAGCTGGCCAGCAAGCAGAATCCCTCCCCAAGACACATAAAATCTGTACCTATGTTTTGAATATAGTTCAAATGCCTATTTTTATCGAAGGACCAAAGTAAGGATAAGGCTACCTAAAGAAGACAAGTCAATATTCTTAATTTTATTCTTCGTTGTGAGTTTAAAATGGATTGAGATTAATGGTGATGGACAAATAGCCATGTAATCACATGAATTTTTGCACACTTAAAAAATCATCTGGGAAAATATTTGTGACAAGGTGTTTTCGTCGTGTTGGTTTTGCCCTATTGCTCTTCCTTATCAATATGGACTGATTTGGGTAAATCCATAAAATGCAAAAACATATACTCTTAATTCATTCATAAAGTTTAGGCTGGTGCTATTTTCATCTGCACCTTAAGATTTTAATCACAATTCACCATTAGGATCATAGAACTTTAAAGAACCTGAAATTTCTCTGGTTCATCTCTTCCCAAAAATGCATCTCAAACAAATTTGTATAAAAGCAGCTATCTTTAAATCAAAAAGATATGCCACTTTATTGAACATTTTGATTTTGTCATTATCAGAAACCTTTTTATCTATGAAAGGAGTCTAGTCTCCACCTTCCACTCCAGGTGTTGCAAGAAGGTAATTCCATCATTGCAGAGTGTAGGCATGAGCCTGGTGTACAGACGCTAACATGTAAAGCAGGCACCTATTTTAAAGTGGCATCTGTTTCCTATTTGGTACAGGCGCCTGATCTCCTGGTGCCCCATTTCTCTCCAGTTCTCCCACATGTTTTTGTTTGGGGTTTTTGTTTGCTCATTTGTTTTGGTCTTTGCCTTTGCTTTTGCTCCCGAAGCCAGGACTCTGTGCCAGCCCAGCTCCACCACCCCCTTCCAGTTCATAGTTTCCCTGCCTCTGCCCTCCTGTCTCTGACAGCCACCTGCCTGCCACTCAGTGCCTGTGACAGTGAGTCAGGGTGGGCTAAAGCATGGCAGCCTTCTGCTTGGCACTGGCAGTTCCTTCCTGGGATTGCTGGGAGGAGAGGTGAATGGAGGCAGCTTCTGCCTGTCAGACTGTCTCGCAGTGAACAGGCTCAGAAGAAATAAAATGGCCCAGTGACAGCTGTGTGTGCTCACAATGAACGTGTCTCTTAACTTTACATTCCTCAGTTTTTTTCCAAACAAAAGCCATGGAACTGAGACCAAGAGGAGACTAAAAATTCCCAGTCCCTGTGTCATGTTACAATCATCTTGAACAATTTATTTCCTATTCATTTCTATTTTCTCCCCTTCCCCAATCACAATTTTCATTGAAAAATCTGTTGAACAAAGCTTGCATGGGTCATATGTGTTGTAGAAGAATGAAATGTCAGTTATTCTAATGCTGAATGGCTTGAGGTTGTCCCCTCTATCATGGATAAACTCACTATCACTCTAGTTTCCACCTTCACATTCAAACATCCATTCAGGGCCTGGGGAGATGGTTCAGTAAAATGCTTGCTGCACAAATATGAGGACCTAAGTCTGGATCTGCAACACCACATAAAAGCTAGGTGCACCCATCAATAATCCAAATGCCAGGGAGGCAGAGACAGGCAGATTCTTGGAGTTTACTGTCCAGCCAGCCTAGGCAATCAGTGAGCTCCAAATGTAATGAGAAACCCTATCCAATAAAGAAGATGGAAAGTGATTGAGGAGGACGTCAGACATCAACCTCTGGCCTACACATGCATGCACACATACACATACACACACACACGCACGCACGCACACACACACACACACACACACACATACACACACAGAGACAGAGTGAGGAAACAGGAAACAGAATACCTTGGACCCCCCAGCGTCCCAGCGTCCCCTCTAGTGCTCTTCATGTTCTCTTACTCTCTTCACTTTCCCCCTGTTTGTTCTTTTTAGTCTTCCAATTGTTCCTTACATCTCAACAAAGGAAATATTTGCATAATGATTGGGCATACAGGCCTCTGGAGTCATAGAGTTCCTGGATCATGAATCCATGTTTTTTCACCACTGGAGTAGTTTTTAAACTACTGTATCTCTTTCCTCATCCATAAAATGGCCATTGTATTGCTGTTTATGCCATCCAGTTGTTTTAAAGATTAGAGGAGGTGAAAAAGACTACCTACTGGGAGAGGTGCCTGGTGCTTAGTAAGCACTTAATAAAAGTTTCTGGTTATTGTCCCTCCTGTGAGAACACATCTGTCTCCAAAGCTGGGGACAGGCTGTGTCTCTTCCCTTCTCTAAACCCAACTCACACAGGGAATTTTTTAATCAACCTGTTGAGGTATTAAAATAATTCCTGCATTTCTCCTTTGATACATGACAATTATTGGTTAAATATATGTTCATTTCAATGATTCGTATGCCTTTGCCTTATCTTGATCACAAAGTTATTCATTTGTGTAGATCCTCTGCATACTGCTATGCTGGGAATTTTAGAGACTATAGAAAAAAACTAAAACTTAAGGCCTTTCAAGAAACTTGAGGACTCATCCATGCAGGTTGAATTTTTATAGATTTTTGCCAGATCTACCAATTACACTAGTAAGACTTCACTATAATTTTTTATGGTATGGGCAACTTGCCCAGTAGTAACATGCTTGCCTAGCATGCATGAGGCCCTGGGTTCAATCTTCAGTACTGCCAAAAGCAATTACTACAAATTTTGTGATTTTTTTTTCTGAATTGTTATATACTAGTGATTTTTTTATCACATTATGACAAGGTAGAGCTTATGAGTTCTGTTTATCACTGAAAATTTGATGTTATCTACACATATCATATATGAGAGTGTATAATATCTATATATGAATGGTATACAATTTCTCCTTGAAAAGTTTAACTTTGCAGATGGTTCAAAGGGGTTCCTTTACCTCCTTATATAACCCCAGAAGGCTTTAAGGGTTTTTGCTACATTTGTAGCTTTTGAGTAAAAGAGTTTCTGTAGCACTAAAATGCACCAGAAGGATGAATGGCAGCCTCCTTATTTGCACTTATAGTAGATTTACAGAAAATATATGGGGTAAAATTTTGCTAGCTTAGCTTATTATTATTAGCAAAAGCTATTTGTTGATTATCATTAACAGCAATAAAAACACATGGATACTATAGAAAATACTGGTTAACATTGGAAATACAAAGAGGATTAAGGGTGCTGGAGAGCTGGCTCCATGGTTAAGAACACTAGCTGTTCTTGCAGAAAACCTAAGTTTGAATCCCAGCACCCACATGGCAGCTAACAGCTGTCCATAACTCCAGTTCCAAGGAATCCAACACCTTCTTCTGTCCTCCTTGGGCATTGCAGGACATGGGTGCACTTACATACATGCAGGCAATACATGCACACATATAAAATAAAAATAATAAATGCCAGGCGTGGTGGTGCACGCCTTTAGTCCCAGCAATTGGGAAGCAGAGGCAGGTGGATCTCTATGAGTTCAAGGACAGCCTAGCCTACATAGTGAGTTCCAGGCCAGCTGGGGCTACAGGGAGACCCTGTCTCAAAAGACCAAAAAATAGGGGGCTGGAGAGATGGCTCTTAGCACCGTGTGGGTGTTGGGTCCTCTACAGAGCAGTCAATGCTCTTAACCACTGAGTCATCTCTCCAGCCTCTTTGTTTTGATGTTATGTATTTTTTTTCTTAAAACTCAAAAGTCCCAGAGCTGAGGATTCTAGTTCAAGTGGCCTTGATAGGCATTGCATGACATGGGTGCACTTAAAAAACCAAAAAATAAAATAAAATAAAATAAAAATAATTTTAAAAACAACAAAGAGCATTAAGACAGTTTCTGCCCTCCAATATTTTTTATTCCACTTGGTCAAACAGCCCAAGATTAT